AGGCTCTTCGACCTGTGCTTCGTACTGCGGCTCTGGCGAAAGTTCAGGAGGCTGAGTTGATGCTCTTCGAATACACTCGGCTGGCGGTTGGAAGTCTACACCCTCTGGTGCTGGCCCTGGTTCGGCTTGCATCGTTGCCCTGCGAGTCGGCTGGCGTGTAGAGACGCGAGAGATCACGGGCTCTTCAAGTATTGGCGAAGGCGGCTTGGTTGGTCTGCGGCTAATCTGGGTGGACGATCTGCGCGCCATTCTCATGACCGGGGCCTCAAAATCAACATCATCTGGCTCTAGCTCAGGTTCCACCTGCTCACTGTGCCTGCGAGTTGGCTGCCTCGTGACGTGGCGAGACAGTGGAGGCGGCTCGACAATGTTCTCGAAAGGCGACGTGAAGGACTCTCGTCGCTCTTCCTCTGGTGCCAGAGTTGTGGCCTGACGCATCCTCATCACCGGAGGTTCGAAGTCTTCTTCTTTGACAGCTGACTCAGCAACCGGTTGCGGCTCTTCGAAGTCGAACAGAGGTGCCTCTGACTCCATTCGTTCAGGTTCCTCGTCAGCTGGTTCGGAATCGAGCTGTGGCTCTTCGTAGTCAAATAGAGGAGCTTCGGACTCCATCCGTTCAGGTTCCTCCACAGGCTCTGAAGCCAGAGGGAGAGTCAGCTCGCGCTCAAGCTGCCGTATGGTGAGCCGACGAGATGGGACAGTTGTTGACCTGCGAGTTGACATACGCCGAACGTTATCCGGCTCAGGCGAGAATTCACGCTCAGGAGATGTAATGACCTCTCCACGAACGGTGGAAGAGCGCGTAGGAAGCGTCGAAAGCGTCGGCTCGCGCTCGATCCCGCGGATGGTTGGCTGCCGAGACGGAACAATACTCGATCTCCTCGTTGACATACGTCGAGCGACCTCTAGCTCAGGCGAAGGTACCCGCTCGGGAGATGCAATGACCTCAGGAATAGTCGGCGAGCGCACCAAAGAGCTCTTCCGTCGCGTAGACCGCCGTGAGACGACATCAGGCTCAGTCTCCGCAATCTGCTGTTGAATCCCAAAGGGCGGAGATGCTTGCTCGTCAGGCATAGAGGCAAATGAATAGGCCCGCTCGCTCTGCATAGTAGGCTGACGAGTTGCAGCGGATGATCTGCGGTGGGTCGCCATTCGCTCGACAAACTGGGGCTCGACTTCCTCTTCGACAGCAGTCCGTTCAGACTGAGATCCGCTTGTTGCCTGTTGCGATTGGGACTCTGAAGAAGGGGTAGAAAAGCCTTCGATGGTTGTGGCCAGCGTAGACTTCCTCGAAGGCGGTATCGTCGTCCGCCTGGTCGCCATACGTTCAATCGGCCGATGCTGCGGCTCTTTCTGCGGTTCTTGCTCCGCCATCCTCATGATAGGAGGGGCAAAGTCCGTAGGCTCGGTAGTTGCTCGCTCGACCTGAGGGATAGACTCACGCTCTGAGCCCTCTTCGCGCACGGACTGGACTGACTCCTTTCGAAGACGGCGCTCAAGGTCCTCAACGCGATCTTGAAGCTCAAGGATAGGCTCAGTGTATGCCCTAGTGCGACGGCGAGGAGTCTCGGGATAGTCCTCGTACCCGTACTCCTGAGGTTGAGGCTCCTCATCATACTGAATGCCCTCCTCGTACCCGGGCTGTTCAAAAGGCGTACCTTGTTCAAGGGCTGGTAGGGTCTCCAGTACCGTAGTGATGGAGTCAAGTGCGGCTGGTAGCTCAGACTGCGCCACTGCGAGCCACTGCTCTATCTCCTCAGGTGGGATAGCTTCGATGTCTTGCAATCCTTGTGAGATCGCGGAAACGCGCCTTGACTGGGACTGAATGCGAGTGAGAGCGCGGCTGAGTCTCCTTTCATTGACCTCCGTGTCCAGCATCCTAGGTATCTCCTCGGCGACAGAATCGACAGACTTGTTCCGTAGGCGAGTGGTCTTCCTTGAGAGCCCAGTGGATATCTTGCTGAGAACCCGCTGTATTGGATCGATCTCTTGCGAGGCACGACGGCGCTCTTGCGAGGAAGGGCGGCGCTCGTCGAGCTGGACGCCGAGATCCTCAGCGATCGAATCAAGCTCGTCCATCAGCTGACTACGTGCCTCCGAAAGTTGTGACAACTGCCTGCGGGTCTTCTGCAGCCATGTATCTTCACTTGGTTGGCCATCCTCGTCGGTCTTCTCCTCTACCGTCTCAAGCGAAACAGAGTGGCGACCAACTACTGATTGCCGGGGCGTGCCTTCGACTGGAGCATTGCGGAACTTGTTGTCATCGTCTGCAGTCGGCTTCTGGTCGAGATCCACGCCAAGGTCATCAGCGGCAGATTTGACCAAGTCAACCAGATCCGGAACCGTGTTGGTGCTCTCTCGCAAGTTTAATCGCGAATCGTTCAGATTAGGACCAAGTTGCCCAGGCGCTCCCACATTCAGCTTCTCCGCTACCTTGGGTGGCACGTAGGGACAGGGCGGAATGTATTCGCACACCTGCTGGCAGACGGGCTGGCAGAGAGGCCGGCAGACGGGCTGACAGACCGGTTGGCAAAAATTTTGTTGAACGCACGAACGCCGGCACGCGGTACGACACGGTTCGGTACAAGCACCTCCGGACTGGCATCGCTGGACGAGATCTTCAGATACCCTTCGCAGCTGTGCAAGACTGGGCTGACTGTGCTTGATGTTGTTGATCACATTCTGCAACGAGTTTGCATGCTCTTCGAGGATGGAGTCGATGATGTAGCCAAGGTCCTGCGCGAAGGAGTCTCCGCACTTGTCTGATGGCATGCACTCGGAGTGGTGTTGCCGACGCTTCGACGACCGTTTATAAATGGTTCTGGAGCTAGAGGAGCTTGAGGTGGAGGAGTCGGTAGCAGCTCGCTTTCGTGCATGGCAGTGTCGTGTTCTCGGAGGGTCGGGCATACAAGCTTTCGCTATGCAATGACGGCACGGCTTCTGGGAGGCTTCCTCGCGAGGCTCATTCGTCCCGATAGTTGAGAAGTGGCCACAAGCGCGTTTGATCCAGTTGCCGGGGTCTTGAAGAGGCTGGTGCGTCCGGAAGGTGCGGCGAGGCTTGATGCGGGCACCAGGGTAGCCGAAGTCTTGCGTCTTGCGTCTTCCATAGGCGCCGCGCCAATCGACATGGTCCGGAACCTCGATGTCGTAGTAGCCTTCTTGAACACCAATGGTGGAGGCAGGAACGGTGGCTGGGGCAGTGATGCGCCGAGAGAAGCTATGACGGGAGCTCGGGCGGGAACCGGACCCGTCGTGACTGAGATCTTTGGCCGCAGTGTCATCGAGCTTCCGGTCTTTGTCGATCGGTTCTCCAAAATTGCGAACATATGTCTTGATATCTTGTTCCATATCTTCGGTCGCCGATGCCGTAGATCTTCGCCTAGGTTGTCGCAGAGACTCGTCAGCAACATCTTCTTGATCTATTGAAGTAGTACGCGAGCCTCGGCGCTTGGATAGTCTAGAGAGGCTAGCGATATCTGGTTGTTGCTGAGCTGTTGATCTCGTCCTTGGCTTCTGCTGGTTGGGTTCCTCGTCCCGCTCATCAAGAGTGGCTTCGTGAGCTCGTGTGCCTAGTGGAGGCCTTCGAACATCGTGATGAACGCCCGGACGTTCGAATTTCTGGCTCGGCTTGGGAGCACCCGATGCTGCAGCTTCATCGGTCTCAGTAGTGGACTTGGACTTCCGGATCGATTGACGTCTCACAGATTCTTCAACCGCAAAGCGTTGTCTGTGTCTCTTGGACTCCTCGACAGCAGTGCGCGCGGTATCGGAAAGCCGATCAAGCCTGCTAGCTTCGCCAGCAACGCGTCGTTCGGAGCCTAAAGGCTTTGCAGCTCGCGGCGGTTGCTCGAACACATTGGTGGATCTCCGGCGAGATGACGCAGACTCTTCGATAGGTAAGGACTCCGCTGCCGATTGCTCGTCTCCGGCGACTTCTGTGGAGCGACCAGGAGATCTGCGTTGACGAGGTGCTGGTTCAGAATCGGTAGGCGCAAGACCAGTTGCCGCTCTCACCAAGATCTTCGGGCCCAACGCCTCCGGTTTAGATCGGGGAAAGGGGTTCGCGCGCTGTGAAGGGTCGGTTCTCTTGGCAGCTTCTGGCGGTGGTTGTGGGATTGGCAAGGTAGGATCAGACTCTTTCCGCGTTGCGGCAGGCTGTCTCGTTGGACTCGAGGCGCGCACGGGCTGGACATATGCGTTCTTGGAGCTTTGGCGGGGGTCGGCCTGGGGTCGGTGATCCTTGATCTTGGGATCCCCTGTTGCACCCTTGGCGATGGTGATAGAGCCTGAAGGTGGAAAAGGAGGACCCTTTCGAGACTCGGCGGCTTTACTTTCGAAAAAGCCCTTCGCAGCTTGTACAGAAACTGGCTTTGGCGGCTGTCTTGGAGGCAATGGCGGCGGTGAAGGAGGCGCTGCAGTGACTGTTCGCTCAGGCTCAGAGGGAGTAGGTCGAGTTGTGAACTTGAAGGACCCAGAAGTCCTTGGCCGGCCTTCGACGCTACTACCCAGCTGCGAGGGTGGGCCTGCTGGCGATGGCAATGGCTTTGACGCCCGGTATGGGTGGTCGACCTTGTCCAAGATTCGGCCGTAGGGGTTCTTGCCTTGAAGGTAGGCGGGTGACTTGGGTCTTGAAGGCGCCGACTGAGGCTCGGTTGACTGTTCGGGAGGCGGTAGCGTGGATTTGTGATATGATTTGCGTCGGGATGGCGAGGGTTGCGCTTGGTTAACGGCATCTCGTGAGGCCGTGGACACCTCCCTAGCGTATCCGGCACGTGTCGAAGACTGCCGCGTCTGCTCGCGAGCCCCGGTGATGGTTGAACGTGGGGCTGGGTTAGAGGCAGACGGGTCGATGCCTCGTCGCATGTGGAGCGTAAAGAAAGGGTCGATTACTTACAGATGGTGATGGTTGAGGTACGTTGCTGGGTGCTGCGGAACGCTGACGTCTTGCTTGTGGGGAAGAATAAAGTAGAGAATGCAGAGTAAACGAAACAGGTGATGGATTAGGAATGGAAATAAGACGTGAGCGGTAGCGCCGTTGGTGGATTTGAGTGCACTCAATCCAGGTGTAGGAGAAGAGAGAAGAAAAGGACGGGGCCAAGGATGGAATGTTATGCTTATCTCGAGCACCTTCTATGTTTTGCACGCGGAAGGAAAGCACCCGTCCGCACCTGATACTGTACACACCACGCGATAAAATGCCCAAGGAAAGCTATGTACACAGTTACTTCATTGCCGCCTGCAGGCTCTCGAGGACCTGGAAGGTTTGATTAGCAGCTCCTTCTCCATTATCATGCGCGTCATTGGGCTTACCTCGAGTTCGATCTTAGCCTCAGCAATATCCTGCTCGCTGCCACTTCCGCCGGCAATCTTCTGAGCCTCCCCGATTTGATTCCTGACAGCCTATCACAGCATCAGCCTTCGTCCTGCCAAAGCACAATTTCCAACTGCTCTACCTCTGAGCTGAAGTCCTCCAGCGGGTAAGCCTCAACAGCGTTGATGCTGAGTTGCGAGCCAGGCTGGACAACAGCAAATCCCCCCGAAAGGAAGAACTGCTTGCTGCCACCGCTTTCCTCAATGATCTCAACCAAGCCAGGCTTCAATTGTTCGATGGATGGGACGTGGTTCGCCAGGACACCCATCTCGCCGGTTTCTGCGGGAAGATTGACCTGAACGCTGCATTGTGATGCCCATCAGTATTCGCTCGAGCTGCTTAGCGGTTCCGGTCGGATCAGCGGGAGACGTACACATCCTGCGACTTGTAGATAGACTGCACCCCATTTCGTTAGCTTGGACTCTCGCATTCCAATAGCTCATTTGAGTGAAAGTTAAGACGAATTGCGTGTGTAGGAGCAGGGTATGCGTACCTGGTGCGGAAGAGCGAGGGAGAGCTTGATCTTGTCCGAGGCGACGTCGGCGTAGCCCCTTCGCAGGATGGGGCGCGAGATAGCGGCAGGCCTTGCGCGGAGGGCGGCCCGGGCAATGCGGAGGGAGCTCATGATGGATGGAAGCGTGTGGAGGATGCAATTGCTGGATTGCCGGAAGCTTGAGGTGTTGAACCGCGACGCCGAAGTTCTTCGTCTTGGTATTTAACCGAAAATTTACCGCCGCCGGGGACTAGTGTGATATTCGGCCCATCCGATAGATGTCTGCAATCCGGCGAGGTTTTGAGCCATTGGGTTATCAAACTTCATTGTAGTGGGAGGTTGGAAGAATATGTGAACAGGAATGTGTCTGATTGAAATGGAATACTTGAAACAAATCGCAAAAATCGATCTCCAATACACTGTGATGCAACGTGAATCCCAAATCGATCTTCAGTACACCGTAATGCAAATTGAATCCCTTCGGGAACAAGTATCCCAATTCCCTATTCTACCTCTCGAACGCTAAATCGAACTTCTCAATCTTACCCCAAGAGGCATCGGTGCTGTATCCCTCCAGGTCCGCGATCCCGATCCCCAATTCCAGCATGCCAGCCCACAGCATCCCAACCCCCAGCATCCCACCACACACCCCTCGAACACACCCTCTCACTCTCCCATCCCCAAGCACGCCCATCACACAACCCACCACCCCCACAGCCTCTCCCCTCCCTCAGCCCCCCTTCTCATGCCTCCTCCCGCCCAACAGCGGAAACACATACACGGAGCACCACACCGCCCAAGCAAACACGCCCAGCACAATCACCACCCCTGCCCAATTCGGTATCACCTGGCGCGCCTGCAGCAAGCGCCCATTGTGCCCCGCAATACTCGGCGGGATAACAAAGCGCGAGACACGGAGCGCGGAGGGGGATGCGGGAGGAGGAGGAGGATCCGTCGGACTGACTTCGACGGCGCTGTCGATGCGCTGTTCTTCGTCAGAGGAGTTACGGCGGAGCGGCGGCGGGGGTTCGATGTTGGGGTGGGACTGTAGAGTGGTGTGGGTTAGGTGGTTGGAGGGAAGGGGATGGGATGGGAGGGGGCCGTACCACGTCTGCCATGGCGATACATGCTCGATCCGATGGCCTGCTGTTTATTTTCCTTTGGGGTCGTCTAGACGGGTATTTCAGTTGCCCGATTCAGCGGCTGTGCACGTCTTGGGTGGACTGGGGACCCGAGACGCCCAGCGTCGTGATGGTGAGGTCTGCATGAGGAAGCGTGGAGGGGGTGCCCTGCGGAACGCCTTCCCTGGCTGCGCCTCGGCCTTGTGCGCTCGATCAGCATCATTTGTCGAGGCGAGAGGGCTGGTCCTATGGAGATCTAGGTCTTGTCACACTGCATGCTGCTGACTTTTCGATCGAGAGACTGGTCACCTGCGGGTCCACGGAGTCGAAGATCGACGCCTAGCGCATTGAGGCTAGCTTGATCGAAGCTAAGCGCATGCTTTCAACGACGAGCGAGCTCTGAGATCTCTATGCTTAGAATGTTCAATCGAACTCCATAATCTCCCCCTAAGAAATGTTGCTACAAATGTTATCAGAATAAACTTGCAGGAAGCAAAGTGCCCAATCCCCTCGGCACCGAACTCCACACCACACATCCTCACCTCCGTTCATACGTCCCCGCCAATCCACTCCCCTCCACATCCACCACAGCCCAAAACAAAATCACATTCAACAACCTTGCCGGCCTAAGAAGAACAAACCACCCCAAAAACATCAGCCACGTCTTATCCGTAGTAAACAAAACATCCCGTCCCGTCGCCACAACGAACAAGTCCGCGCCCGGCGGACCCGGACCAAGATTGAGCAAAGCCTTGACCGGATAGCAGAAGCAGCCGTTCACCGCGTAGAAGAGAACGAGCGACAGCATCTTCGGCACGCCGCTCTTCCAATCGCGGAAGACAGCAAAGGTGCCGGCACCGCGTAGATAGGCGGGGACGCCGACCTCGTAGTTGAACACGTCGCTGCGCTCGCAGAACTCGGAGTCCGCATTTGCGCGGTCGAGCGAGAGCAGGATGCGGCCCGCTGTTGACGTCGTTGCGCTCAGGACCTCGGCGCCGCGTGCCGTCCGGCCGAGCTGGGCGTAGTAGAGGCGGTAGAGCTCGCTTTCGGAGACGAGGAAGAAGGAAAGCGCGAAGCGGATTGCGCATGCCTGTGCGTGCGGCCGCGGCGAGGCGTGGGCGGATTGCTGGATCAGGCCGGCGATGTGGCCGAGCGCGACCGTTAAGGCTAGGAGTGGCATGGAGTAGCAGTGCGCCGATGGCTTCTTGTTGGAGCATATGCATATGACTTGGATGACGGCGCTGGCGAGTGGAAGGCCGAGGAGGATGTATAGCACCCGGAGGGCTGAGTGCGCTGATATCGTTCGGTAGGCGGCGACGGAGAGCAGAGAGAGGACGCAGTGGCTGAAGTAGCGGAGTAGGGTACGGCGCCCAGAATTGACGGAAGGCATTGCGACGGCTCTATGGTTGGAGATGTAATGGATAAGAGAAGGAGGGGAGGTACGCCGCGCTCAGCTTTTGTAGGAGGCACCAGGCGGTCAACCATAGATCACTTCAAAACTATCCCATCAAAACGAAATACTCAGGTACATACCCAACAAAGCCCGAAAGCGGTCATTCATTAACTCATTAATCGTGTGCTGCTTCGCGCTATGCGAACCAGGTAACCGCTACCTGATATCCAACGATGAGAATGCAATCGAAACCGAAAGAACCTTCATAGCCCATCCACCTCGTTGTTCCCCAAGACATTTTCCTCCATAGGAGGCCCGATTCCAAATTATTATCTCTTCCAGCCCTTCCAGCTTCCCGATAGCATATTTCAGTCGAGCCACATCACATCGGGCTCCTCAGCCTGTGCTTTTCCTTTCCCCTTATATCCTATGCGTTGTAGTCCATTCTGCAAAATCGCGGTTGTCGAACGCGTAACCGTAATTATTTTCCTCGACCTCTTCTACATGCATCCTTCCCATGGCCGAATTCGCTCTACTCTTGGAAAAGTCTTGAGACCCTTCAGCCTCCGGCTCTGAGTAAGGTAGAGCTACTGGAACCTCGGGTGCAAGGTCATTAGGGCCCCATGTGCGCTCAATGCCATTCGAAAGATCCTCCTCATGATCTAGCCCGTGAGTGTAACGAGACAATTCCGTGTCCGGGTCGATATGCGACTTGGTCTCAACTGGGGAGCTCGCTTTCGAAGAGGATGGGGACGTGCCGTCCACAGGCTGCGAAAAACTATCACTATGCACCACCTTCATGAATTCGCTTCCCTGTTGCTGCGTAGGCATGGTCGGCAATGTGCTACTCTGCGGCTGCGCCACCGTAGGCGAGAACGCTGATAACACTCCAGACTGCGCTCTATTTGCTTGTGCAGCCTGCTGTGCATGCGCTATGCGCTGCAGCATCGGTGGCCGCACATGCGGTGGTAGATGCTGAACCACCTGGTGGGCCCGTTGCTGAGGATTGCTGAGACGTGGGTTTAGAGCCATAGTTTGACCATTCTGGAGCTGCTGCTGTGGATTCGCGGAGGCAAGCGGCAGTCGCATGCTACCTCCGATTGGTTGTTGATAGCTGTGTCGGAGTTGACGTTGCATCGCCTGTTGGTGCATCTGCCGCCGCTGAACTTCGTTAACGGGGTTTCCTTGCATCGGGATTCCTTCCTTGCTCATAGCGCCCACATCCAGCAACACTGGAGAATGCGCGTTCGAACCGGAGCTGGATGACCCCGAAGCTCCTCGCTCAATAAACTCATCCTCGAACGACGCAGGATACACATCAGCATCCAGCTCGAACGACGTAGGATACACATCAGCATCCAGCATCTTGCTCATCCTCTTATCCATATCTTCCTTCTTCCTCTCCTCTTGTTGCAAATACGCATACCAGTACCCTACCAATTCATTACACAGCTTCCGGAATGCTTCCACATCCTCCTGCTCTCTCGCTACTCTTGCACGATGCAGAAAGGCGTGCCTACCCTGCTGCGACATTACGTCAGGGACAACGGCAGAGAGATTGGTGTAGTATTCCTTGAACACGGTGAACATCGCGCGGATGGGTGGCTCCCGGACGAGAGAGCTAGCGGAGTTAGAGCTGATCCAGCTTTCCCAGCGAGAGCGATACGCGTCGAAGCCGGTGTGCTCGCCAGGGCACAGAAGGACGTGGGTAGCGGGGAGTCGCGGGATGGAGCAGAGTGGTGTTCGCATGGGGTTCTGCTGCGGTTGGTTTGGTCCCGAGGCGCCAGAGTTCCCGATGTGCGAAGGCAGCGGAAGGCTCATCATGAAGTTGGTGGTTGGTGTCCCTCCGTAAACTGCGCACAAGCGTGGTTGCCGCACATTCCTAAGTCGTTCGAATGGACCAACGAGGGTCTTGATGTTGTCAAGGAGCGTTTCCTCTGACCACTGGAACTTTGAGAGACCGACGCGAACATTGAGCTTACAGAGATGCTGGGACTTGCTGAGGATTCCGGAAACAACGACGCCGAGGTAGTCTGCAAATGTCACCATGAAAACTTTAACGGGTTAACATCAGCAACAACTCACCTCGGATGTCATAGACCTCGACCTCCTCATCCCACCAACATCCAATCCTCTCATCCGTTCCATTCTCCACCAGGATATCCACGTTGTAATTCTTGACTGCAGCCCAGTCGAACGTCTTCAAGAACTTGTTCTTCGCATACTCTATTTCATCTACCACAAAATGCGAGGATCCGTCCGGTCTCCTCGGCTCCAGGAGCCGTCTTCCGCACATGTACGTCCCGTCTCTGCGGACATCGATCGTAAACGGAACGTCGGTGTATAGCAGGTCCTTGATTTCGCCGTACATCTGCCGATTAATGAGGAGCAAGTTCAGTAGCGGCATCGGGAAGACGCCACTTGTCGTAGAGCGTTCGAGTGCAGAAAGAGTGTTTCGCCCGAACACTCCCCCAATAGGAGGGATGGCGACTCGAGGTGGCGAGTTTACGTGATACCATCCCGGGGGGTAGTCCTCTTCTTCCTCAATATGCAACAGCGAGGTCGATGACCCGATTGCCCTTGTGGGCAATAGATAACGAAAAATCTCCAGCCTTAATTCGAGAGGAAGCTTCAGGAAAAAGCAAGGCGCGTCCGGGTGGCCTTGATGCTCAGCACAGAGCTCGAAGTATGGCGGCGTCCAGCGAAATAGCTTTCCGCATCGCTCCCCATCCCATTCGATGAACTGGCACCATCCAGCATAGCTCTGCTGATCCTTGTGCGCGTGGCAGGTGGGGAGAAAGGTTGAATGCGAATTCTTAGTGTAGTGGGAGTTGCGGCCGCTGCAGCGCAATCCATTCTTCTTGTTGAAGCCGGAGCATCTCCGGAGAAAGCCTTCCGGGTCCTTGGGATCGAACCGCGACACGGGAGGGTGGCTGAGACTGAGAGGGTGGTTGGGACTGGGAGGGTAGCTGGGACTGGGATTGAACTGCGACATGGGAGGATGGCTGGGTCTGGGAGGGTAGCTAGGACTGGGAGGGTAGCTAGGACTGGGAGGGTAGCTAGGACTGGGAGGGTAGCTAGGACTGGGAGGGTAGTAGGGACCCGGAGGGGCGGGCGAGGGAGCAAGAGGCTGTGGCTCTGGACTGTCTTCGATGTTGATGACGTACCGGTGGTAGGCCATGGCGAGTGCCATCGCCATGATGTTGGAGGGGGATGAAGGGTGAAAGGCTATGGGAGGAGTCGTGGTTGAGCTGAGGGTTGTTAATACGTTGGGCTGTCGACAGTACGGAGGGGTCGCACCTGCCTTTTCGTCTCGTCAGCAAACAGACGGCCTACATACCCATCAACTCCTTGCGGCACATGAAGCCCTTTTAAGATGCCGCAAGTGCAAAGCCCGGAGGCAGGCTGGCGATCTAGGCTGACGATCGAAAGAGAAGAGAATGCGAGCGCTCGTCGTGTGCCCCGCCGCCCGCCGAAGGGAGTCGAAAAGCAAATGCAGGCCGTGTAACGCTCGCTTGCTCACTCGTTCCACAGAAGACCAGCCAACACAAACACAACCTCAGTCGACCAGTCGACCAGTCGTCCTCCGATCCGTCAGGTATGCGCTTCGGGGGCCGGGCACTAGGCCGCCAATATGTACTCGCGTAACGGCCTCGGCCTCCCCACATTTTGCACGTCCACGCCGTGCATACCGCAAAGAGGCAAAAACAGACAATGCGACGCCGCCGCTCAGCTGAAGCGAATCGCCCATTCAGGGCATTGGACAGAGTCCTCGCATCATCTGTCGACGCTCCTCGGGCGTTGCGATGGCGCAAGGATGCATCGCTCGCACTTCGCGAAAGCTGCCGATTGCGCTGGGCGGCGCACTTTTGCACTTGGCGGCATTGTGGGCGTCCTCGCAAATTAAAACACGCCGTGCGCCATGCGAAATGCTGAGCGGTGTACGACGGTGTACGAGCAACGGGCGGAGGAAAAGGCGTCTCGGGCCTTGCCTGTTGCGGAGAGTAATGCGATCTATGGCGCGTCACGTGCTCCCGCTCTCAGCCCTCGCGAAAGATACCCGGAGCCCCGACAAGGTACGGCAGATAACACAAAATTTGTAGCACTTGCCCAGCTGTGCGCATCCGACGTCGCAACGCTAGGCCTGTCGAGCCTCACCATCCTTCGCAGAAGCCGATTGCCCCCCGTGCGCTGTGTGCTCGGCCCCAGATCCATCACAAAACGTACCTGAAGTCCTTGTTCTGGAATTCCGTCAAATCTTGCATCCCCGCTTCATCGCTGTGCCTCTTGTCTGCAGGGCCGTACTTCTTCTCTCGGTGTCTGTTCATGGAGAACAGGTAGCCGAGCAGTGCCAGGTGGCATACGAGCTTTATCGTATATCCGACAAGGAGACCAATCGTCGCGCCACCGTAGTTTGGCGCCTGGGATTCCTTGACAACAAAGGGGCCTGCAAAATTCCCCCAGCAGTATGCCGTGAAGACCATCGCACTAGCCATAGCGCGATGCGTGTAGCCAGCCATGTTGGACGAGATAGTCACTAGGGACACAGTAAATCCGACGGATTGGGAATTTACCAGCCAGAAAGAGACTAGGCGTCCCCATGTGTTGGAACGGGGCAGGTATGCCGTGCAGGCGGCAGCTACCGTGCACAGAATATTCGCCGCCGTGGCCGTCAAGAGACGCGAGTTCGGAACATTGAGCGTTATTGCACCGCCAATGAACAGCGCGATGATCTGCACCGCATCGCCGACACTCTTCAGCTCCGTGGTCTTGGTTGTACTGAAGCCCAGATCGCGGATGATGATGGTGGAGAAGGAGTTGACGACGCCATTCGGGATCGCGGCCGCGAAAACGGAAGTGAAGAGAAGCAGAGCCTTAGGATCCCAGAGAGCGACGATGGCTTGCTTCTTGTCGAAGGCCTTGTTTTTGATTCCAGTCTCATTGCCAGCAACCCGTTTGACGGCGATGATACGTTCGTGTTCCGAGAGGAATCTTGCGTTTGATGGAGCGTCCGGAAGCACGAAGAAGATGACAAAAGACCACAGGCACGTCACGCCTCCAAGGATGAAGAAAATGAGCTCCCAACGTTCGGGCTTCATTGTCGGCGAGAGTTTCGAAACACCCATGGAAATGTACGAGCCCACGATTCCGCCCCAGCCTAAAGAGCTGTACCAAATGCACTGGCGCAAAGGAATCTCCCGCCGGGTATACCAGAAGCCAGTCATGAGGGTCAATCCAGGAGTGACGGCGGCCTCGAATAGTCCCATGATGAATCGCGCGGCCAGAGCAGAGGAATAGGTCCGGCATTGTGTAAGAATCAAGACCATCGCTCCCCAAAGGAGACAGCTGATGGCCAGAACTCGCTGCGCCGGAAAGCGTCCTATCAGCCATCCGCAAGGATATTGCCCGAAGAAGTATCCAGCGTATACCATGGCCGATAGGTAGTTGAACTGCTGTCCTTTCAACCCGAGCGCTTTTTGGTAGTTGAAGAGGTTGGCATAGTTAAGTGCTGTCTTGTCCATAAACTGAAGCGCTTGGGTAATTAAGAAGATAGGGAGGATAACGAGGTCGATCTTCCATCGAACTCGGGTGCTCTACAAGACCGTTAGTGATACCCTCGGGAGAAGGATAGGATTGCTCACCTCCTTGGGAGTTATCTCCATGTCGAGCCCCTCCAGGTACTCCTTATAGCCAACGGCGTTCTCCTCCTGAATAGCATCGAGCTTGGATGCATGATGACCATGCTGCCCAGCTCTGTTCTCAAGCTCGCTCGGCACCTCACTTTGATTGGAAGCGGTGTTCTTGAGCTCCGACATAGCGGTTCCGGAAGTACGAACCTGGGGGACAAGGAGCGAATGTAGACCGGTATCGAAAAGCCTCAGGGTAGAGCGTAGGTACCTGAGCGGCGAATGCTCCAACCCCTTTATACACAATCTTACCGAACTACCCGGGCCATCTATCTCGTTGTGGGGACCCCAGAGTCAAGCCATCAATCCGGAGAAGGATAGAATTCAGAGAAACAAGACTCGCCATTGGTGATAGGGAATTTTGAGGCGGATGCGCAGCGGCGATTTGCGAGCCAAGCTTCGGCGAAAAAGGCGGGAAGCGCCAGGCGGGGGTGTCGAAAACGCCGGCGCGCTAGCTCACGCTAAGCCTGTGACGTCGGCGGTAGCTTCTCCGAGACGGAACGGCAACCGACGATGAGGACCGTGAAGCCAAAAAAAGGCCCTCAGCATTGTTGTAATAGCCCCAAGGCCCTGAACGATAGCTCACGCTTCGTCTCGCCCTTATTGAAGAAGTCCTGGCAGCCGACATAGGTGGGTCGCTTCACGATGGATCCCCAAATTACACACGACTCGGCAATGCCGAAAGACGACATGAATTCGGTTACCTACCTCGCGAAACCATCAGGTGCCTGCTGTCTCGAAGGCAACATCCACTCCGGAAACCCAAGAGGAGATTTCGTCAACATTGCCGACGTAGAAACGTACGTCACCAAACCTCCAGACGCCAAGGCAAACGGACACATCTTACTATATTTCCCCGATGTATGGGGCGTGTTTCCAAACGGACTTCTCATCATGGACGGCTTCGCAGATGCCGGATACCTTGTGGTCGGGCTCGATTACTTTCGTGGAGACCCGGTGTGGAAGCATAGGAAGCATCGGCTGGATAAAGAGACGGAGCCAGACTTTGACTACGAGGCTTGGAAGAAGAAGCACACCGCGTTTGCGAATGAAGCAGTGCCAAAATGGGTCGATGCCGTGCGGCAGCAATATGGCAAGTCGGATACCAAGTACGCCTACGTGGGATACTGTTTCGGTGCGCCGTACGTCTGCGACCAACTCGCCTCGTCGCTCTGCGCTGCAGGCGCATTTGCGCATCCGGCTTTCCTGAAGGAACACCATTTCAAGAATCTGCAGAGGCCTCTCTTCATGAGCTGCGCGGAGGTGGATCATACGTTCGATACGGAGAGCCGGAATAAGGCAGTGGATATTCTGATCGAGGGGAAGAAGACATATCATTTGCAGCTGTTCAGCGGGGTATCGCATGGCTTCGCGTTGAGGGGAAACATGGAGGATGCGTATGAGAGATGGGTTAAGGAGCAGAGCCTGAAGGGGATTGTGGAGTGGTTTGACTTCTGGTTGGGATTATAATTGGGATGTCTAGCAGTCAATGTACTCCCGATTCTTGAAGCCATACTTGTAATAGAACTTGCCCACTCGGGCCTGACATGCTTCAAAGATAGGTACACCCGCATATTCCGAATTCCGGCTTGATGCTGTACGGATTGAAGCGGGCTGTGCATGATTCATGTCCCCCTTCCTTCCCCTCACAGCCTGACACATCCATACCTGCCCCCAAAAGCGGGGAAGCCGCGGCTACCAATCGAAACCGCCGAAAATCGCCGCCAGTTCAACCTCCACCACCAAAAACCACCGACATTAGCTTTGCACCGTCCAGACGCAATTCGGCACATCGCCGCCGGACATGGAGAGACATCCAGTCGGCGGCAATCTCACGTGGAGTCGCTCAAATAGCTGGCCGAAATCTTTAGGATGTTGTCTTCAGAGCTGCTTTCCCCAGTTCTGATTTCTTCTTCTTCTTTCTTTTCTAGAGGTACAGGGTAGGCATGGGACCGCCGAAAGCATTCGACTTCACGGGCGAAGTGGCCATCGTGACGGGTGCTGGATCGCGAATGCCTGGTATGTATCCTCGGCGCACTGCGCGCAATCACGTGTCTTCGTTCACGCTTGCTCTTCCCTTCCATCTTAATCCAGACTGACGTTCGAAGGCGAAGTCGGCAATGGCCGTGCAACCGCTATCCTCCTCGCGCGGCAAGGTGCCAAAGTCGCGCTGCTGGACTACAACGCAGACTGGGCGGCTGAAACAAAACGCATGATCGATACCGAGGGAGGGATTTCGGAAGTCATCCAGACGGACGTTACGAATGAGGAATCGTGTAGAAGAGCCGTGGAGAGAACGGTGCAGTTGTGGGGAACCGTGCATATACTTGTTAACATCGGTGCGTAACGCTTCAGAGGCGAGGGGTCACGCGAATCCATGAGGAGACAAGCAAGCTGATGCAGAAGCTCAGTCGGCGTTGGCGGCGCAATGGGCGATGCAACGAAACTCGACCTCGACGCCTGGGACCGCGACTTCCGCATCAACGTCACGAGCATGGTCCTCATGGCCCGCCACGTCATTCCTGTCTTCCGGAAAACCGGCCGAGGCAGCATTGTGAATATGTCGTCCGTCTCTGGTCTGCTCGGCGGTAATCCCTCGCTTCTCTATCCGACGAGTAAAGGCGCGATCGTTCAGATGACAAGAGCGATGGCCGCCCAGCACGGCAAAGAGGGCATCCGGGTGAACTGCGTGACGCCGGGAATGGTGTACACCCCGATGGCTATGAGGGGGAAGCCGATGAGCGAGGAGTTGAGGAGGCAGAGGGTTGGGCAGAATTTGATGGGGATTGAGGGGACGGGGTGGGATGTTGGGTATGGTGAGTTTATTCCTAGATGTTTCGAAGATGGAGTGCTAATGCTAAGGACGAGGTAGCGATCTTGTTCCTGTGCAGTAAGGAAGCGAAGTGGATTACTGGGGTGATATTGCCTGTTGATGCTGGGGTAAGTCATGGATCGGAGGTGGATGTAATGAGATGACTGACTGACAAGTTGTAGACGACGGCTGGAAAGTCGGATCGCCCTGCGCTGAAAGAGGATGCGCTCGCGGAGAAGAACACGGGGATACGGAATAGCAAGCTATGAGCCTGGCGATACCAACAACATGTATAGTTACTCTCGGCTTGACAGTATGTCGCATTCCATGGACTTGGACTAATCGCGTTCTCTGCTCTGAACTCGCGTGCAGCTGCTGCCTGCAGAACTCAACGGAACGCTTTGCGGAACCTTGGAAACAGGTAGCGCATCTGAACATTAACGGGACGCTTCCTTTGGATCGAACCACGACGCTAAAACTGTTTTTCTCGCGCACGTCTGCCTTCGCACTTTTGCATTCACTCCAAAGCATCGCCTACATTCACATCACCATCCCATTCCACCTCCCCCACCTCAAACTACATTGAAAACGTTACTCCCCAACAACACCATTCTGTCTTCCCAACCGACTGTCCTAATTCCTGCCCAACTATCCCTCTGCTATCCCCGCAATCCGCGGCGCAGACAGTCCCGTCATGGACACACTCCTCGTCCCAAAATTGCCCGCCCACAAGCGCTTCTCCCCGAAAGCCAAAGACCCTAATGTCTGCGACTCCTGTCGTGCGGGAAAGCGTCGCTGCTCGGGGGAAAGGCCCGTCTGCGATCGGTGTCAGAGCAGTGGACGTGCTTGCGTGTACCCAGGCGGCACAGCCAACACTAGAGCCACGCGCGCAAGCACGGTGTCGAGCGAGGATGCGTTTGATCCGCCGCTGCCAAGGGGCAGCCGTGGGGTGAGACACGAGCTGGGCCAGGAGCTAGACCGCAAGCTGAAGGTTCAGAAGGAAGTCGAGGACACGCGAGTACGGGAGGGAATTGAAGAGCGGGATGGCGACGGTGACGGTGACGGTGACGTGGATATGGATATGGACATGAGAGAAGAGCCGAAAGCAGAGACAGAGGCGGAGCAGAACACGATCGCAGTCGCAGCCGCAGCGCCAAAGCGACGTGGAAGGCCGAGAAAGAAGGCACCGGCGACGGCGACCATCGCAGTACGCTCAAAGCCCAGCGGGAACACAGCTCCACCCGACCCTCCCAGCAACGAACCATCCGCCTCAGCCCTCCTCGCTCTCCGCTCCAGCGCTCCCGCGCCCCGCTACATCCACTTCAACGACCTCGATCTGACTGCTCTCCCTGCAGACCTCGCCGCCGAATGGTCCGCCATCAAGCGTAAAGTCTTCGCCGCCGTCAACTTCGTCGAAGGAGGGGAGGTGCTGTGGGACACTACGGGCGTGAAGGAGCGCGAGCTGCAGCAGTTGATACTGGAGGTGCGGGGGCTACAGGAGGAGAGGAAGGCAGCAGTGCAGGAGTTGGGTTTGGGCCTTGAGAGGCTGGCAGAGATGCTGCTGCAGGTGCATGACTTTTATGAGTGTTTGAGGACTTGCTTGATGAGTTTGGGGGCGTTGGGGGAGGTGGTTGATGCGTAGGGGATTGTGGTGGTACTGGGGTAGGATGAGTGTTGGGATGTTTGGGGTGTGCATGGTGCTGGGGCGAGTGATGGCGAAGCTGCAGCATGGGTGTTGATGTGGCTTCTAGTGTTTTGCTCATCATGCGCTGCTAGATGTTGAAAGGCTCTGTGGAATGGACGGGGAAGGCGGGATGCGTTGCACTGCATCATGCTGTAATGCCCGCACCCTCGTATTTAGATGTGACTAGGTTTCATAGCCTTGGCTTTCATTGCTGGAGTGCGGACTTCTAGTATTTCACGAATCCGATCGCCGTCGTGGAAGATATGTAAGAAGAATTCGGGTGCACGCTCTAGTTACTGCAGTTTGATAATACAGTCACTCCTTCCCGTGTCTGACGGTAACACCTTGGCTGATTATTACTATCTACGGCTTCTGGTCAAGGGAGTGATCAAGATCGGAGGAGGCGGCAAGGGACAAGCGACGGTAGGTTCGAGATCGCAGCACCTGGAGCTGGGCTTCCACGGATGGAGTGTGCAGCTGCAAGTTTGCTGCAAGTTCCACGCGCGGTATCCCGGTGGCGCTCTGGTCTTATAGGGCGTAGAGATCGTGATGGGGCGCTTCTCAATATTGGCTGACAGGGATTTGTTCGCTGGCGTTCTCATCGATCGAGTGATGAGCAGTGATCCCACAATCCTCTGTACCTCCGACTCTGCATGCCAATACCACTGGACCACGACTCATCGGCAAGACAAGATATTCCCACCAATGTCGGTCGGCGAAATTCTGCTATGCACTCTGTCGGTGGGTTTGTTTGCTCCTGTAGCACCGTCACAATGGTCGAGCTAGATCTTCGGCGCTAGTGACACCACGGCGTACAGCTTCGACGAAAGGTGCTATCCGCATGTGCTGTGCGACCGGGTTATAGCCGGCGTAAGCGAACTTACCCAGCATGTTCATGACAGCTTCGAAAGCCATCCGGATGCGGTTAGTTAGCAAAAGGAGTATTACCAGCGTTATAGCTGTGCAGTCGTACGGTGTGCTGGCCTCGCAACACGAACGGGTATTAAGGAAAAAGAAATGCCTTCGTCGGAATGACTGGACGCGGAGAATAGCGCGCTGGGCACCTGAACCGGGAGATTCCGCCTTGATGAAGATCCCCTGGCTTCCTCGTACTGTATGGTCTCGGTAGGGCTGGACCATATCGCTAGACCTACCCGAAGGACAGGGACGACAAACAAAGCACCTAGAGCGCTTCCTCGGAGCCTATGGCCATCATATCGTGAAGAGCCGGATGAAATGAAGAGCTCGGAAAGTCGGACAGGACGCCGTTCTAGATAATGTGACGCCATGACAGAAAGCCAACGTAATGTGAGGACGTACAGATACCGCGGAATACACGAGAAATGGCGCCACGAATGGACTACGATTCGTGAAGCATAGAAGAGGGATCCATGAAATCGGCAAGAAGACTTCGAACACGTGAGGTGGACCCCACGTTTACCTAAAGATTTCGTAGCTTGGCAGTGCATCTCTCTCGCGCTTCATCTCCGTCATCGGCATCCTCAAGCTTTCTTGATTTTTCGGCATCTCCGTTTGCCCTGTCTTGTGCCCCGCTGCCGCGTGAGTCGAGCGCCACGAACGCCTCCTCTCTTGTCGCGGCTCGCGTTCAACGGCGCACCGAGGCAAACGCAAACGCGGTTCCACCGCCGATCGATCGCGTGTCGGTGCTTTGCGCGTCGGTTCCGTGGATGTATGCCTGCTCCGGGAGCTAGATCACGGCTAGTCCAGTGCCATTGAGTCGCAAGAGAGCGGCCTGAGGAGGAAAACGGGGAGGGAAGGGGATGGGCAGAGACGCGGCAGGGAACACGCCTCGCATACACGCGCCCCGCCCCGGCAGCGGATCAGATAACTCTAAATCGACACGCTCTTGGCGCGTCGACGAATGAGCGCGCCTCCGAAAGCGGGCCGGGCTTGGCAGGCCTGTTATCTGATCAAAATTTGCCCGCGCCTTGCCCATCGCGGAATCTCCGCCGCTCATCACCTGCCCCCTCGATGCAACCGCACATCAACATCCCTCCACTGCTGCATTGGCAAACGAAAATATGGATCCGTGGCCCAGTTTCTCTCCCGTGCATTGGGGCCCTAAGACGTTTACACGGCATGGCGACCCTCGAGCCGGCCTCGCTTCTGCTCGCGGTGAAGGCCGCAGTGGTTGCACCGTCGTATAGTCCCTGCGGTGAAGTAGAGTTCTCGACCCAGCACACAGTTAATCCCTGTCAGCAGCTTCCCGCGCTACTCTCTGCAAATATAGCCAGGCCACATATTTTAGCTGCCGTCCCGCCCTCCTGGTCTCTCTCACTGCTCTTCGCCTTCGATATCCCTCCAGACTCCAGTACTAACTGCACTGTGCTCAGATATCGATCATTCCCGTCGCAATGCGGAATCCCTTCAGAGTCGGCCCAGTCGAGGAGCCTATTGTCGACGACAGCTACCGCCATGGCGACACAATGAACGTCGAGAAGGCGGTCGAGGCCGGCCATCCGCCTGTTGTCGACGTCAAGCATCCCGTGGACAGCAGCAGCAGCATCGAGGGATTCACCCCAGATGCCCAGGAAGGCGTCAAGAAGATGGAGGCTACCACCTCTGTGTGGTCGAAGAAACATCTCATCGTTGCATACATCTTGTAAGTGGAGCGCCTTGACGCCTTTCGCCTCACGCGCGCCAGCTAATGTGATTTCAGGATGTGGTGCATTACCTTCGTGGATGCCATGCAGCAGGGCACTTCGGGTGCGCTCCAGCCGTACGTTACCAGCAGCTTCTACCAGCACTCCTTGACGGCCTACACCGGCATCATGTCTGGTATTATCGGCGGCGTGCTCAAACTGCCAATGGCAAAAGTTCTCGACATCTTCGGGCGACCGCAGGGTTTCGCGCTCTCCGTGGGGTGCTTAATTCTTGGCTTGATCATTATGGCATCGTGTAACGGAGTGCAAGTGTACGCCGCGGCTCAGATCTTCTACTGGCTAGGGTTGGTACTTCCAGAAAACGGTCAAGCGTGAAACTGACTGGTATAGGTACAACTGCATGAGCTACACTCTAGGAATCTTCATCGCCGACACGTCCTCCCTGAAGAACCGAGGATTCATGTTCGCCTACGTCAACTCCCCATATATCGCTACCGTCTGGATTGCTGGCCCTCTCTCTGAAGCATTCCTATACGGTCCTGGTTGGCGATGGTTCTATGGCGCCTTTACCATTATCACCCTCGCCGTGGCTTCACCCCTCTACTTCTTGTTCATGCACAACTACCACAAAGCCGTCAAGGCGGGGATCATTGTGCCTATCAAGAGCGAGCGCACCTTCATGCAGTCGGTTAAGTACTACGCCATCGAGTTCGACGCTGGGGGCCTCTTCCTGATCATGGGAGGGCTCGTCTTCTTCCTGCTTCCATTCAGTCTCTATTCGTACCAGGATGGCAAATGGAACTCGCCTCTCGTGGTATCCTTCTTCATCATTGGCGGGCTGATGCTGATCGCCTTTGCTCTGTATGAGAAATACGTCGCGCCGAAGACCTTCATTCCATTCGAGCTCCTCACGGACCGCACTGTGCTTGGCGCCTGCATTCTAGCCGGTACTCTGTTCGTCAGCTTCTACATCTGGAACGCCTACTTCTCGTCCTTCCTCCAGGTGGTTAACGGGCTCACGCTCACGCAAGCGACCTACGTGACCAACATCTACAGTATCGGGTCTTGCTTTTGGTCCATCCTTGTCGGTCTTGCCATTATCTGGACCGGCCGCTTCAAATGGATCGCGCTTTACTTCGGAGTCCCGGTCACCATGCTCGGAGTCGGCTTGATGATCCACTTCCGCCAGCCCGACCAGACCATCGGCTACGTCGTCATGTGCCAGATCTTCATCGCCTTTGCTGGAGGCGCGCTCGTCATCACAGAGCAGATCGCCGCAATGGCCGCCACAGACCACCAGTACATCGCCGTCGTGCTCGCCATCGAAGGCATGTTCTCCAGCATCGGCGGCAGCATCGGCAGCTCTGTCTCCGCAGCCATCTGGACCGGCGTGTTTCCAGACAAGCTGGCCGAGTATCTGCCTGCCGAGAACCAGGCCGATCTCTTGACCATCTACGCTTCGCTTCCCACGCAGCTCTCCTTCCCCAAGGGGACGCCGGCAAGGATCGCGATCGAGAAGGCCTATGGCGACTCGCAGAAGTGGATGTGCGTCGGCGCCACTGCTATCATGATCCTTGCCATCTTCTGCGTCGCCGTCTGGCGCGACATCAGGGTCAAGGACTTCAAGCAGACCAAGGGTACTGTCGCGTAAGCGACGAGCATTTGCTCTGATACATTGCGTCGCCGGGCGAATACGGATGGTGCACATATCGTTGGGATCAACCCATTAATATCATTATTCGGATGGGCCTGGAGCAGGTTGTCCTGGGATATCTATAAACTGCGTTGCTTCTGCATGCCGGTGGGGGGTGGAGAGGAGTCTTCGGCTGCGTGGAAGAGAGCCCGCATTGGGTCTATTAGTGAGACATCGATTGATAGTATATAAACGTGGTACTTTGCGTGCCTTTTCAAACTCATGCCTTCAGATCTGCTACCACCTGTCCATGACTAAAGTTTAGAATCCGTTCTCCCTGTACTCCTCGTAATCGCCCCGATTTTATCCACACATGAGGCCTGAACTGAATCGTGCCTATATAGACTCTAAGGCCTTTCTTTGCCGATAAGGAGCCGACTTTACTAGGCCTAACACCGGGAAAGAATCTGTCACAGCCTTGATGACTGCCAAAGACGTTAGCGGGCATGGGAACCCGACCTCAGAAGCCTTGGGCTGTGAATCGTTCACGAGCTGCGGTTTTTTTGTCGTCGCTTTAGAATTCCGCTCTCGCGCTGTGGGGCATGGAAACTGTCGCGTCATGGCATCGGACTTGCCAAAAACACGGATGAGAAGGTTCATGAGATGCGTTGGCATATTGCCGGCATCTCTTCGTCCGCAGTTAGCCCTCGTCTGATCCTTAGCGCCATCAGAACCTTGGAAAACAGGCCGATATACAACCCTTCTTGCAGCTTCATCGGAAACCACTTAGATGAGCCGGCACAGCATCGACAGCGAGCATCGAGTACTTCATCAGCCTACGCTCCGATGCGTGCTCTCTGGGAGACCTTGGCCCCGGGACTGATGGATGGCCCTGGTCAGTGGTGCCTAGGTTCACTCGGTTTGTGACTCACAAAATATGGAATTGACTATGTCGCAAAGTTTCCACCACAATCTTTGCGCTCTCCAGTTCTTCATCAGACAAGGGAGCGAGAAATGGTCTCAGAAGATTGAAGAAGCTCAGATCTCGCGGGAGGAACTGGTACAATATATGCTCGAAGAATCGAGGGAAATACCCGGCGGCGGACCAGTCGATGAGATAGATACGACTGCCATCCACCATAATGTTTCTTGGATTAAAATCCAGATGACACATAGATAGGGCATGGCGACGAAGATCAAGTCTGTGCCCTAAGCTGGGTGAACGTCGATTGAGCCAAAGTTGGAGGTCATCTGTCTCCGAAAACTCCACCTCTTCATGTTCAGGCCAGAGCACACCAGATACTGGCCCGCCTCCAAGTGATCCCGGCTTCGTCGCTCCCTGTTGATGGATATAACCCAAGATGTTGCCCAGCTCCTCAGCCATATTTTCTGCGCTCGCCAGGTCAAGCGTCTCGCCATCGACGTAGTCCATCACGATATACCCAATCTCCTCTTTCTGCAAGAACCGATAAGCTGTTGGCACATTGACTATGTCTGCGTCGAGGCGCCGCTGTGCGACCTGTTGGTTCTTAAATTCTTGAGCGGTAACAAAATGGCCAAACTTCACGGCCAGGCTGTCTGTGATGCGCACCACCTTGTTTGAGCACTGCGGCGCTGAGAGAATTGTGGTCGCTGGATCGTGACAGAGCGAGATGATTCGATCGTTAGTGAGAGCAGACATAACGTAGAGAGGATGAACGGTGGATGCAAGAATTTGCGTGAACAATTATTTTCTTCGCTTAGACACTTTGGCGCGCTCGGGAATATGTTACACGTGACCTTGGTTGCATTGAAAATCGGAACTTGAAATCCCGTGTCAAACATGATGGAGTGAAGAATATATAAAAGTGGCGATGTTACTGAGACCGGCAAAGTTGATAATGATATCATTTCTTGCGTGACGTCAACGTTTGAGAAGATCTAGTATTCTAGGTAGAATAACCGCGATATCTCCTTGGAAGAACCAGTCATTGTCACTTAATTCTTCCACCAGCCGGTGATCGTTTTCTGCATCGATGATAGCCAAAGATGCTCCACATGCTCGCGCTGTATGCACCCATTCTGCAGCTGGGAAAACTTCCAAGCTTGTACCAGCAGCGATCACCAGATCGATGCCTTCTTCCGATATCCACTCATCGATTCTGTCTGGTGCGCCAGCAGCGAGTCTCTCACCGAACCAAACGACCCCTGGGCGCAATAGATTTGTACATTTGGGGCAATGTGGAAGGTCGGATAATGTTGCCGAACGTGATTGGTGATTGGCATTGGACAGCGACAGCAGGAACGGAACGTCATGCGGCTTATGAACGTTGGTGTTGTAATCGCATGTGGTACATCGAACCACCTTCAGTGTGCCGTGAATGCCCAATAGTCTTGACACAGGATGATCGGTTTGCTCGAGAAGCCCTGATATGATATTAGCGCACCGCCCGCACAATTCCTGTCTTCCAGACTAATATCCGTACCATCAACATTTTGATTGATAGTCAACCATCCTTCATGCCATCTAGCAAGAGCCGCTAGCGCATGATGTGCTGCGTTTGGCTGAGCCGCCAATGACTTGAGTAAGCGCTCGCCGTAAAAGCTCCACACTGTGACTGGATCCTCTTTAAACTTGTTGGGTGAGGCAAGCTCTCTCAAATTGATGTCATTCCATAACCCGTTCGTCCCACGCCAGGTGGCCAGACCAGATGGTGCGCTGAGTCCAGCACCCACGAGGCATAGAACCCGCGAAGATGCGTCCAGAAAATCTGCAAAAGCTGACCAAGCAGAATCATCGCCAGTATCAGCACCATCCATGCTGCAGCCAAGGTAGAGTTCGGGGGCGACCGTGGCCCTCCAGCTCGTATATTTTGGCGGCAGGCAGAGGCGCGATGGAGAGTGCTGGGCTGATCGGCGAGCCACTGAAAGATGGTATCTGGATGGCGATGCGGCGGAGGTGTGGCCGGGAGAGCCATGAGGAGATGGTTGTGGAGCCTGTTGCGCCAAGCTTTGATCGGCATCAGCGATTTCCGACCGTCGATAAGTAGCTGCCGGTGCCTTCTTCCATCCACAGAACACGGAACACGAAGCCCCCCACACATCATCGTTTTATTTAGACCCACTAGATAAACATTAACGTTGCACCTTCAATCCTTCCATATGACAGGAGACCCAGGCTCTACACAGAATTACGGTGGGACTCCTCGGACTTCGCAGACCACCCCTACGAACACGGCGCGACTAGTTCATTCCATCGGAGATTTGCATACCCTCTGCGATGTATACGGCACCGACGAAAACGGAGATGGTAGCTATGTGTTTAAGCCTTTTCGTTCATCGACCCCGACGACAATGTCTATTACGGTCACGCGCCAATCAAAAGGACTTTGTTGAGCATCGAGGATGTAAACAATTACCTTGAGCGAATTCCGGGCCAGGCCATCTATCCCGAAACGTCTTCGCGGATCACTGTGGTGTTCAATCCAGCAGCTATAGACGGTTACATCAAACGTCCAAAGCTGACAAACTTCAAGGCTGAAGACGCGGGCCTATTGCATCAGCTACTGCTCAAAGAGGCTGATGCATTCGAATTGCTTCGCCAACATCCGCATCCAAACCTCGTCCGATACCACGGCTGTCTCGTGAAACGGGGTCGTATCATGGGCCTTGTACTTCATCGGTGTTCCACGACGCTAGAAAAGAGGATGAAGGAGGGGGATATAACGCATTTCAACAAAGAATCTTGGGCAAAGCACCTCCACACTCTTGGGCTGGCTCACAACGATCTTAACCCGGCTAATATCATGCTCGACGAACATGACAACGCTACTGTCATCGACCTTGGATCCTGTAAGCGTTTTGGTGAACAACTGCTTACAGCAAGCACGGACGGATGGGTGGACGAGTACTTCAGCACCTCGGAACAACGGCACGATGAGGCTGCTTTGAAGAAGATACAGGCTTGGCTAGAGAGTGATGGGCGGTCACGTGGTTCCATCGCGTGATTACCATTACCTTGGCAGCGTTCCCTGTAGGGAAGACGCGGACTCGCGGAGACGAAGAGTCAGCGATTAAGAACGATTAGCCCGCTCCGTATCATTGATAGGGATAAGGAGTGGTGAGAATATCTTAGCGTTCACCAGACCAACACTGCGTGCCAACGTGACATCAACAGGGCCGAAAACCGAATCAAAATAAGCTAATGCTTCGCATTCTGCCAAGGGATCTGGTGATTGAGGGTCCGAATGCCTCACCTGGCTACGACTTTAGCAGCGTCCTTCTCCGGTCACGAAAAACGCACGGAATGAGTTCATTGGTCACCATGTGCATTCGCTCTTGACCGGTGGCCCTCGCCGGATCTACCTGATAGAACCCCACTTTCTTGGCAGATGAGCGTATATGGGGTTGAAGTACGTCCAGATGTTTGCTCCTCAACCAACCATCAAGCCGTCAATCCAAATCTTTTAGTATGCCTCCCCAACGCAGCGTGTGTACACAATACCAAATACGTTACAGATGTGGTCACAGCCTAAACAGCGGGTTTGTGAAATGCGCAGCGCATGAGCCTATGGACAATAGATGCGCTTCTGGGACATGGAAGTACGAGGAGGAGAAGACGTCAGGACACAATTGCAAGAATTGTTCCACGAGCGGCTAAGGTATTTCAGGATTATTTTTTCCACGGCTGTCCCAACCCTGACTTGTCGTCTAGTGCTAGCATGAGATCCTCAATATCTTTGCCTTTGGCATTGCTGCAATCATTCCCTTCTAATAAACATACCGTCGCATGCTCCAAATCGATGAACTTTGGCCCCTCTGCTGTGATGAGAATGTTGTACTTATTAATGTCTCTATGAATAACACCTTCACGATGGAGCCTTTCAAGTCCTCTCTGACAAGCGTCCGCGTCGTCAGTAGAAGGAACATGTCCAACGACCATTTTGCAAAGAAACCCAACAATCCGTTCTTGTTCACAGGCGTACCCGAGTAACCTTGGCACAAGAGTGCTGCGTCGCGTTGCGAGAAAATGATACACTTTGACTTCTTGCCTGAGCGAGGGTATTTCATGAGCAAAGGTTGCAATTTTGAGGATGCAGGTATCTGATCCACTTTGCACCTGGGAAACGCGCTGTTTGAATTCCTGAAGAGTTTGTAGCTGGGCTATCTGAAGTAACGGATAATCGCCCGGACATTCGGCTCGGCGTAGCTCGTGTGGCGGCGATGCATCCTGTACGCATTGAATTTGACCGTTGTCATTGCGGATGGTTAGGGTTGTCCAGAGCTGATTCCATTCTGAGTACTCCCTAAGATGTTTAAGCAGCGATGGACCGTGCGTGCGTGCGTTTTCAGGGATTATGGTCGGGTCTCTGACATAGACGTAGACAATTCTGCTGCTGTCTTGGTCGACATCTCGCTGTATTCGATACAGACATTCGGAGTCGTCCACGAGGCAATGCAGCATCTTGTCTGAGGACGCCATGGTGGTCATCTTAGTCGATGACGCCGTAAAACCATTCAAAAGCAACAGAAAAACTGTGAGATGTATTCGGAGGATGGAATCTCTCATAAAAGACGAGGAGGAGTGTGCTGTGAACGCGTGGCGTGGTGGGTAGGGACGACGGCCGGTGGAGTTATGCGAAGACGACGGGATACAGGACTAGAAGAAGGAATTTAGGCAGCGGGAAGAGATGCGGGTTCAGGGAGATATCATACCACGCTTGGGTGTTTCAATTCTTGTGCGAAAGGTAAAAGGTAACGTTCTCGGGAGTCTCCAACGAGGGCTAGGATTACTCTTGGAATTTTGGGCTGCGCACGTCTCTCGCAAGTCTTCGACCTGGTCTTTTTCTTCGCCTTTGAAAGTTAGGCCGAGCGGTCAATGGCACTGTGCGCTGTGATTGACGCTATCATGCTGTAGACATCGTCGCGCTCTCGGAACTCCGGCTGATTGCTCTAGAGGCGGATATTTATTCTTCCGTCCACACAGCCACAGGCCCAACAGCTACAAGCCTCACAGCCATAAGCGTGGCTGTGTATCGGCCCGAACGCCTGCTAAGCGCGGGTAGTTAAACCTAGTAGAGAATAATAGAATCGCATGCCATCTCAGTTCGTGAACACCAACACTATCGCCCTCCTATGGCACGCCTTATGCATCGTCGAGCCGCCAAAGCCCCCGATAACCTGATCGAACTTCCTTGTCCCCCATGCCCCTTGCGCGCGCCGCCTACGAGGGCCCGTCGCACCCCGACGCAGGCCACAGCATTCCCGACGTCTCTGACAACGGTACTCGAGTCACCATTCTCCATCCTGGCTATGGCAAGAAGAACAACATCCTTATGAAGCTCCTTGCTCTGGACGATCCCCAACATGGCCTCGAATATCATACTGCGCATGTCGCGTGCGCCATTGTGGCGAACAATCGGTGGGACGGCTTCTTTGCGCGCGACCGGGAGGGCTGCGAGCGCGTGGATCGCCCTGAAGACGGGATACTGCGGGAGGCGGAATACTTTTTTCACATTCCGGGTTATCCGGGCGGCTGTGCAGAGGAAGGCCAGTCTGGCCAGCTGGTTCAAGAGCCGTTGGGCCCATATCCCATCGTGCCGGCTTTTTTTCGACTGGACATTTCCAGACAGCCTGCCCCATCCATGGAAGGACATTCACATCCGCGCTAGTCGCGAGCTGCTTCAGTCGAGCACCATCGCCACCTTGCGGGTTCGCGATTTCAATTGTCGCGTCACCGGATACATCGAAGGAACTCAGTATGCGCACCTAGTTCCCAAGGACGAGGAAGCCTGGTGGAACAGCAACGGCATGGGGAACTACACTGATGCCATCCGAGGGAACGCCAAAGAAATCAATTCGCCGCAAAACGGTATGCTCTTACGGGCCGATATCCACAAGCTGTTCGACGATCGACGCTTTGTGATTGCGCCCAAGGAGGGCAAATGGCTCGCTCACGTCATCCAAGGCGAAACGCCGGAACTCACACAGCTGTACCATAACATCACCTTACGCCCGCTGGCCGGTGTCTGTGTTGAATACGTTTTTGCGCGCTTCGCTTGGGGCATTTTCACTCTCATCAACAAGTTCGTCAACCAAGGCACGACTCGCGCTTACGCCATTCGCGTGAATAATTCCACAACGGTCAGGTCAATGTCCCAGAAGGACTGGGAGACGCACAGGGACCTGATCAAGCCTCCTAGAAGCCTTAGCCCTGGAAAGCGCTCGCTGAAGCGAAATCATGGTGAAATCACTGAATCCGAATATTCTGAGGACCATCTCTCTGAGGACGAACTCTCTGATGACCTTGAAGATGAGAGACTTTCCGACGAGGATCTCTCGGACGACTGCGAAGCCGACGAGCTGGGCACCCGTGGCCGACCGAGGAAGCGCAGTTTCGACTCCCGCAGCTTTGAATCCCTCACCCACATCTCCACATCTTTGCAACAGACCAGCCAGGAGATGCCAATGACGCCGTCCCTCACGGATACGGAGGGTGCACCAGCGCTTACATCACTCCATATGGATGCGAAGCTTTCAAACATCGACGGTCCCGATGATGATGCCGAGATGGTGTCGCGCAAGAGGAGAAGGCTAGTGATTGAACGAGATGTGGGGTAATGGGTAATGAGAGGGTGATGAAACTCGCACATTGAGTGGAGGACGGAATCGAGAAACTTACGAAGAGATGGGTCTTCTAGAGAGCCCGCTAGAGGTCCGTATTGTGAAGCTAGTCTACCGATTATCTGTACGGGCTCCAAGGGAGATCAGCACATCCCAAGTCGAGGAAGTTATCCGTTCTGACGCCGCATCAACCGGCCGTTGTATGCTCCTCTCCCAAGTGGGCTACATTGACGACTCTGCTTCGCGAGGTGACACCAGTGCGGGGGATAATGACACGTTGTTTAGGGCAATACAGGCTATAAATATTTATAGTCGTGGCATTGTCTGTTGCTTTTGCTCCCTACCGGCTCGCGAATCTTCTCATACCATCCATCTTCGCCCTCAACCATGTCGAAGAACACAATATGGGCCGTCATAATGAAATAGATAGTGCACCTAGCACAAAAAGGTCCGTCTCGACATCCGTATCGAAAGGACCGTTTCGAGGGCAGTAGAACCTGCAAGGTTTGCTGCACCAGCCGCTAAGGAACACATCGCCGTTCTCCAACAGCTGTTCTCCCTGGAAGTCGGAAAACTTGATGTGGAGCCACTCATCGAGAAGTAGATTCGTGGGCTAGATATCGTAGTGACGAACGCGACTAGGCGGTTCGGGAACAGTAGCTACTCAGGATAAGAAACTCTGCATTCGTTTCATGTCGCTCGCTGTGTGGAATGTTGCCCCTTCATAAGCCCAATTCGGAACCCAAGACGGTATCTTCGCCCCAATTGGACCGCTGAAGCTAACATCAATAAGTACAATGCGCCCTTGGTCATCTTTCATAACGTTGCTCAGGCTCAAGTCTCCGTGCGAATAGCCCGCTTCGTGGAACTGCTTTACGGCTCGTTTGATTTCCTCCGAACGGAGACGCATCTCGTCATGTTCCAATTTATAGAGCTCTTTCATCTGGTAGCCGCGTATCTTGCCAGATTCGAAAATTGGTTTGTCGGAAAAGGAAGGGATTGGTAGGTCGAATAGTGCCAGCCGGTCAAGCACTTTATATTCGTATTGTAGGAGGGCAATGGATAGAGCATCGGGATGCGCTAGCTTGATAATTGGGTAAGGCTGTGAATCGACTCGTCGGATACAGGAGTGAGACCCAAAATCTACTAGCACAGAACTCCTCCGCAGGGAAGCTATATCGGGGCTCTCTTTTACGGGGGACACCTCGCTAGCTCGAACAACTGGAAAATTCGCGAGGTCGGGATAGTTGAGATCCCCAGACGATGTTAAGGAATACAACTTCCCGTCGTACTCGATGTTGCACTCATATACGCCACGTTGTGCGCCACGGTATGGCGGCGTGATTGGTTTCGCAAGATCTACATACGGTTAATCCTCAGTATAGGACGACGATCGTGCATAGATGCAGTCCCGCATAGCAAGCTGCTAGGACGTGATCGATGTAGGGTTCATTAGACATCTCGTCGGTGGTTGTTACGCATCGGCTCCTCGAAAAGGTTTATCTGCCTGGTCTAAAAGGGTATAAGTACGGCTGTTCGCCCCTCAGGAGCAATGTCTATTAGGCACAACGGTTCACTTCCTCGCCTTTTCTGTCAAGACTTTCTGCCAATTCGCATTATACTCACCTTACCTCGTCGCCTCTCACTCGACTCAAGCAATCTCCAATATGGCTTCGCTCAGCAGTGCTAGCCCTTCCCATGTGCAATCAATCTTGTTCGAGCAGATACCTCTTCTGGACTTCTTCTTCCCTGGCCTTGCGCCTGCGACTTCCTCTGCCTGGTCCCTTCTTACTGGTATCCCGAGCATCTATGGTCGGCTACTGTGCATCTGTGGTTTGCTCCTATTGTTCAAGAAATATGCTTCGGAATATTTGAGGGAATTGCTGGAAACCCACTTCAGTCAGTGAATCCGCCATTAGAGACCCTATGCTATCAACTCCTAACAGATCCATAGTATCAAAAATGGACAGCGCGTACTTCCTTCGCCACGGTCGATCTCAAATCATCTACGCATTCAAATGGACCTGAATCGCATGCCAACAAGAAGTCACTGCACTACTCCCCATGCAATAGTCGCTCTTACTTCTAGCACAACCGCCATCTATTGTATTCGAACGCAAACGAAATCAATTAGAGCTTAGCTTTACTAAGGAGGAAGCATGCATATCGTACTTCGGACGGAATCTAAAATGTTCTAAGGGAGCTCTTAGATAAGTGCCGCTGGTACTGTTTAGAGCTAGTTAAGAACAAACTTGTGTCTTTAAGCACGAAGGAGATAGGTAGAAATCTTCTAAGTTAAGGAACAAAAGAGATATGTTAACTGTAATTATTAACAAGAAGCTAAAAGAGATGTTGCTATGTAACGTAGCAGAGTTTCCAGATCCTAAAACTAGGACATAGTACTCTACGCACGGCCTTCTATATTAAGAAGGGTACCTACTTTACAGACTACCTAGAACTAGGAAATCTAGCCTTAGCCTTTCTATTGCAGGCAAGTTTGATTTAGACGTTTACGTCCTCACTATGTCTAGCCTCGACGACCGTAGCCTAAAAACTCTCTTCGCTGAGCTCCCGCAGCACTGCATCGTCCTACTCGAAGATGTCGATGTGACCAGCGTGCATCGAATACAAGACAGCAATGCGGATGCAAGCCAAAGCCTTGGCCAAAATGGCTCCCCACGAATGTCTGCCGGTGGAAAGGTGTCTCTATCAACCCTCCTCAATGTTCTCGATGGTCTAGCGTCACCCGAAGGCAGAGTGTTGATCATGACAACCAATCATATCGAGCGCCTAGACCCTGCACTCATACGTCCCGGCCGTGTGGACACGAAGGTCAAGTTCATTCTCAACTCTGAAACATTTCTGGGGGGCACGATGTGCCGCCACAGAACGTGATGGTGCCAAGCCGGTTGGGTTCGCCTGCCCAATAGGAAGCAGGTTCAAAACTGAACCAGTCTCGATGTGGGCTCGGGAGGGCGAACGGGGGACATCAACGAATCGATATGAAGAGTGCCGAGTCCGCCCGAAGCAGAGTTGTGTGAGCACCAATGTCATTAGACAAGTTGGAGACTTTGCAGGAGCGCAGCGTAGTACTACGGCTGAGACTGCAATGATCGGTAGTCGAGGGAGCGTAGATGAAACGAGGCAAGCAATGGTAGTTAGAGAGATAGGCGAAGAAGACGAGAGTAACTAGAAGGAATTGTGGCGACAATAACGGGAGTAGAGTCTTTGTAGAGATCAAATTGCGCACTTTCGGATGGCGGGGACCGCCTGCAGCCACGCCCGACAGCAGCTTTCATCCACGCCGCCAAAAGTAGCGTCCTTCGACTTGTTCTGAGAAGCACACAATTTTTTCTGTGGATGAAGAAAGACTGGAGTAGCCGTTGTTGCAACCTGGTCACGTGCCGGTCCAGATTGGGCAGAGAGCTAACTGTTTTGGGGTTGCCGGGGAAATCCCGCTTTGCACGGTGCTGTACCAAAAATGGCTTACCCGGTCGTGTCAAGCATGACATGCATCAACAGCTTCCTGTCCCATTCTCTGCCTGCCATGGCTTCCTCCTCTCCCTCCTGCTCCTCTCCCTCCTTCAATCGAATCCGAGACTGGCTGCGCGCCTCCCCAGACCCAGCGCTCATCGCATCGCCGTTTCGCCCCCTGACTCCTCCGAAATCGCCTGCGGCCACTCCACGACCACCGAAGCGAGCCCGCGACGCCTCGCCATGCGACATGGATAACAATCCCCTGCGTAGCCCCAGCCCAAGCAAAAGACAGCGCAAAGAGGATAATTTCCCCTCCGGACAAACTGCGTCGCGCTCTAGTAGTGTGGTTGTGTCTGAGCGCACCATCTTAACAGCGACAGGCAGCGCAAAGCGGACTTCCAGCCCAAGTCGCCATCTTACCGAGCTACGGACCGCTCGACCCTCAATTTTGCTCTCCCCGATAACCATGCCCCCGAAGCGATTGTCGGAAGACGCCATGACACGACTGGGACGACTAAGGAGGCAGCTGGGCAGTGCTCTTAAGGGTGGCTACATCCCAGTAGGTCTGAAAGATGCGATTGAGCAGGACCCGGACTTTCGACTGTCCCTCTCCATGGAGCCCATTGATGAAGAGGCTTTCGATCACGAGGATACGCGCACACTGGCTGACTTTGCGCTCGTCGACACCCTACAACAGGTAAAGAAAATATTCCAGGGTGCTACTCTCTGCACACAGTTCGGAAGAGATGAGAATGCATGGTGCTTTAGCGTTGTCTGGCCACTTATCGAGCTTGCCCTCAAGCTTCACGGCAATGATAAGTGGAGACCTGAGAGCGTGTAAGTCCGACTCGCCCCGTATGCCTTCCCCGCTAACCCCGTAGGCAATCCCGAAGCATAAACCCACTATACCTCTCCCGCATATCGGACCCCTCTGTACCGACCAAGGAACGCCATCTCTTTCGCAAAACCGATTTTTGCTTCTCGTACTCGTACCTTGACCTGCATTTCCGCCGACTATACAACTGGCTGGAGGAAGCCAATGCAATACATGTCTCCCATACCACGGACAACTTCACCTCGCGTGCCTTCCTCTTTTCGGGGATTGAGGTCAAACCAGAGAACGGCAACCAGAAAGAGGCAGAGCTGCAGATGGGTATCTGGATGGCGGCGAGTTTGCGGAAGAAGATGGAGTTGGCGAGGAGAGCTTCTTTTGGAATTCCAGTATCGGAAAGCGAATCTGCGTCTAATTCTGGAGTCAGTCATGATTCGAATGAGATCAAAAATCCCGACAACAATGCAGACGACCCCTCCATCACAGCCCTCCTCGAACCCGCCCTCACCATCATCGGCCACGAGCACAAAATATACTATGCCTACCCGTCTTCTGCAACAGGAGACATCACGATCCTGGGACCGGATGAAAAGTTCACGAATTTGTCGACGCGCTCTGTACAGGGCATCTTTAAACTAATCAGCTTTTATGCTACCATCTTGGACTATGGATATCGGGCACAATTGGATAGTGGGCAAGAATCTGACGGAGGGCTCTGGGGTGACTACTTAGAGAAGATTGTTAAGGAAGTGAGCAAATGCATTTATCGTTGAGGTAACGTCAGAGATTTGGGGCTAGCTGAGGTGATGTGAATCCATAAATCACGAGTTCGTCGACCGCCCCTGGCCTCCCGAGGAAGTTCTCGAATCGTAGCGCCGCCTTCTAAGGTTAGCCCAAGTCGCCTAAAACCCCTCTCATATACGCTATCACACGGAGGAGCATGGACAGTATCGAACACTTCAACCTTACAATCGCGCCGCGGGTTCAATCGCCATTGGGCGAAGTCTTCTTCGTACCGATGTATTTGGTTCACGTAACAACATGTTCTAAGGAAGCAGGTTCAAAACTGAACCAGTCGCCAAAAAAAAAAGCCCCCCCAGACCCTTCACAAGAGCATTTCCGGAGCGGGTCGGCCGTCCTCCCTGCCAGCGTGATCGAGGCGTTCATCTACCCCTGACGAGATTCAAGTGCCAAACCTTCAACAAGTGGTTCGTGGGCTTGGTACGAAGGGGGCAGGGCTGGGATTCCTGCGCCTATATCTGGGCGGGGTGGTTGAACGGTTTCCGGTGCTGCAGGTCATCGTCGCCCACATGGACGAGCTGGTGCCATACTTCCTGTCGCGAACGGACTAATATCTGAGCGAAAACCGAACATTACGGTTCAAGAGCGTGTATGCGCGCAATATCTATGGCACGACAAGCGGGATGTTCAGCCTCGACCTTATGGCCACAGTCCTCCGGGCTACGGGCCACAAGAGGATAATATATAGTGTCGACTGGCCTCTTCCCAGGAATGAGGATGGTGCGGCGTTTATGAAGGCGCTGAGAGACAGCGGGATGGTGAATGAGGAGTTCAGCGATATCTCATATCGGAATGTTGAGCGACTGGTCGGACTGTGAAGGATCAGTACCATGGTGCGCTCTGATCTTTAAGTAGTATTACCGACATAAATGAGTCAAATCTGTTGGCCTCGAAGGCCGCTCCTATGTCTTAGAGTGCTCGGCGAAGAATGAGACCCAAAGAGAATTATATGGGGGTGCAGCGATCTCTTAACAGGGGGCGTCAAGGTAACCGTCGAGGCGACATGCCCTGACTCCAGTCAAGGAGACTGCACTGCCGACTTCGACCGCAATGTAATCAGATCCCGGGGATTGGGGTACGTTGGGACTTTCGTCCCGGTGTGATCGACAACGTAGGGCGGCCTTGCGTCCCACCCATTCAGGTTATGCTCCCTTGCGACAGCGACGTTGACTTCCTTCTGGAAGTCGGGCCCTGCTGCTTTGACTACCGAGTATCGCTTGCCGTAGTCGACGAGTACGACGGGCAAGCTGGCTTCGTGGTGTGCGGTAGACGGGTTGTAGGCGGCATGGAAGACGTCGAAGGCGAGGACATCCAGTCTGTCCCATTTTTCGACGACCAGAGGCGTTGGGTGGCTGTCACCAGCGGAAACACCGAGGGTAGAGCATGCGGTTCTGACGACCTGGTCGGGTAGAAGGGGATATAAAGGCGATTTAGCGCGGACGAAGACCGCGATTCGGGTTGGTTTGCGCGTGTTGAGCAGCTCTTCGACGATCTGTACCGGTGGGTTAGAAAGCGTAGAAAGGCTTCAGCCTCGTGGGGAGTACTTTTGGCACTGGTATCGATCGAACATTCTCCATTCTGAGCTAGAGGTACCCGAGAGCGATGACGGATGAGGGCAATGAAATGGCCTCGGCAGCGGCGATATGCGGCTGCTTATGTAAACATCGATCTCACCACCACCAGCCACACTCCCAATGTTGGCCCAAGCGGCCCAAATCCCCGCTCGCTCTCACGGGGAGCCATGAACAACAAACACTCCACCGCATAATCACACTACGAATTCAATCACTATCTGGAGGAGTCGGGTATTTGCAGGAGGCACATAGCCCCTGCCGCTCCACGGTCCAACCGGTAGCGTCTTGGTCGCTATGGTGTCCACCGCAGTCCACCTCTCGACTTCTTCTGAATTCGAACTGACATGTACCCCCTTTCCCCTCACAAAGGACCTTCCGCCAGGTGCACATCTCAACTCAGCGAAGTTAGCAATTGATGCGTATTTGCGTGCGAAAGCCGCGTACAATCCTTAGGTGCTGATGACTGCGAGAGATGTGCTTGGAGAGTCGTGGGCGTCAGAGGTAGCGTTCGCGAGGAGGGTGATGGCTTGCAGCGTTCTGGGGATGGAGGACGTCTGCGCGTCAGCTTGAGATTAGTGGAGGAAATGCTACTGTAGACTTGGGAGGGAGAGAGAAGCGAGCCACTCATAGTGGTTATCTATCATGTGCATAAATCCGTAGAAATCTTGGCGACATCGAACAATTCGCGCTTGTGTGCCAACGGCGTTTTCCATACTCTTGATGCTTCCCGCCTCAAAGCCAACACTGTCATCGCATTGTGCTCAACGTTTGAGCCTAGCCAATCGCCATGATGCCACTGTCGCCAGCAGGGTCACCGTTGCTGTCGCGAACCGGCTCGCACTTCTCAAGGCTCTGCTCAACGTCGTTGCACGTGATCTTGAACGGCTGGCAATTGAGCGTCGGGGTAAACCATGCTATTAAGGCTAGTCGTGTCACTGATTACGCCAGAATCATGGCTTGAAGCTTACCATTGAAGTCGACACCAGGAACAAGGCGGATGCTCAGCGTCAGAGTCTTCGTTGTCGTGCGCGTATCGGTCATGGCCATGCCTTCCGTAAGTGCGGTGGACCAATCGTGTGTGTATCCAACCGTAACAGTCGCCGTGGGGCCCAGGATCATGTACCCAGCCATCATACTCACAGACAAACTATCGCCCTGGCTATGGGTCACAGACTTCTCATTCGTGAGAGATGAAGAAACGGAGACGGATACAGATTGCAAGATGTCGCAGGTTGTGCCGCCGTTGCAATTGAGCGTTTGGCCGTCGACTTGCTGCGGCCCAGCTTTGGTGTAAGTGCCGCCATCAGGCTCTGCCTTAGAGCACTATAACGAAAGAGTCAGGGTAGCACCATAGGAGAGCATAGTAAATACTCACAGTGACGGCGGGGTTTGCCGGGGTTTGCGATTCTCTTGGGTCACCATGCCGATAGCCAAGGTTCAGTTTGTGTAGAATGCTCAGAGCGCACAATCCCACTTGCTGGCAAGGAACGCTTCTTGCCCGGAACAGCACTCGCAGTCTTGCAGTCACCCCAATAGCACGCGCTAGCAGAGACACTGCGGGAGCCAACGTGGGCATAATAGCAGCCTCTCTGGCATCATTAACATGTTTTGTCCACATCCTGCTCCTCTGTCAACTTTCACATCTTAACAGCTCTCGAATTTCCCGCCGGTAGCTGGGTCTCGTGTCCCTGGGTCCTACGTGGAGCGAAAGAGGACACGGTGATTGTCTCGCGATTTTGTTGATAGATAATACTCAGAAACCGACTAGCCCGATGAAGATCACAGGAGCAGCCTCACAGAGATGGCCATGTTTCAATATGTTTCTTGCCGAGGGTATAATGTCACGGCGCTCGCCAGAAACCCGTTGGTGTTCAACCACGATCACGGTGAGTCTGCTCCGGTGTGAGAACATCTTTGAACAAATTCTAACTTTGGTACAGCTTCGGCAACCAGCTTTTGGGTCAAGTACGAGAAACCTCTCATGGGCAAAGCTGTATCCATTACCAAGCTTAAAGATAATGCTCAGAGCCGAAAGGATAAGATCGGGCCTGTGCCTCTTCCGGACGTGCTGGAGGATGATGATTGGGGATGCTAAACCGGAGTTTGCATTGAAATTTCTAAGGCGGCCTCATTCGAAGGCAGAGGCGTCGATGGAATGTTTGGTGTGCTCTAGGCCAGAAGGCATGGGCAAGCCTGGTGGTCATCAACAAGTTTTGCACTGGTTCGATGGGGGCTACTTCTGCGTTGCCTTAGTCAGGGTGCTGCTACCATTGGTGGAGATTTCCTTGCCTTTTCCTTCTCTTTTCTCTACTTCCTTCGAGACATTCCTTCGCCTTCTTGTGGTCGTTCCTTTCTGTCTTTTCCGTTATTCTTCTTGGGCTCTTCTCTTGCGCTTCGCTTGTCGGGGGAATACCGTGTTTCCCCACGTGACGCACAGACCCCACCTGACGCACACTTTTTAGTATCTCTTACCTCTTCTAAAATAAGAACTATAATAGATAAATAAATAAAATTTTAGTATATTATTTATATACTACTAGTAACTCTATATTAGCTTAGAAATTTTAAAAAGCTATAGTATTTAGTTAGTAATTAAGATTTAAAAATTTATTAAGTTTTTTTAAAAACTTCTAATAAATAGCTTATAAATTAATATATAAGGTTTTTTATAAAATAAACTTATATAAATACTTAATATAAATAAGTTTATATAATAATATACTTTATAAGTAAATCTTTTATATAAGTAAATCTTCTAAAAATACTAAGTAAAAGAATTAACTAGTATTTCTTAAATAACTAAGTAAAACCTTAATATTTTTCTATAAAAATTTAAATATATATAAAACTATACTATATATACTTACTATTAAATTTATACTATATATTTTCTATTACGTAAGCTTAAAGTAAGCCTTTTTCTAAAAGTAGCTATTCTTAAACTTTAAATCTTATAAATACTAGTAAACCTTTATAATAATCTATAAAACTTTAAAGATATATTATATACTATAGTATAAAGTCTTTTATAAAGTTTAGTAGTATTTAGCTTAGTAGTACTAGAGATATTAGCTTAAAAAGTCTCTAATAAGAAGTTTAAAGGTTTCTTCTAGAAATAGATAGATATTACTAATAAATAAACTATATTATCTTTATATCTTATTCTATTACTATAATAAAAGCTATATATAAAGTTACACTTACTTTATAGTTAATATAATAACTATAACAGTCTAGTTTAGAGATTTACCTTAGGTTATATAATCTTAGGTTACGTAATCTTATTACGTAACCTAACCTAGCGCCTTAGCGCTTAGCACCTCTGTATATAGAGCCTCTTAGAGTCTTTTCTTAACTTCTTACCTTTAGATAGCTAAATTTAACCTAACCTACTCTACTAGCACTCTTTATTCTTATAGCTTATAGAGACAGTACTACCTATAGCTAACTTACCTAGCTAGGTATTCTAGAGACGCTTATAGTAGTAAAGACTATAAACCTAGCTCTTATATTATCTAAAGGTTATTATCTCTTTAGCTAGAGACGGCGGTATAATATCTAGCTAAACTAAGTAGCCTTATTAAAAAGCGTTTACTAATAGCTAATACTAAGAATTAGAGCTATAAGAGTCTAGTTGCTTACCTAGAGAATTATAGCTATAAGAGCTCTAATTACTTATCTCTTTAGTGCTGTATAAGACTACTAGCGAATCTAGTTAGTAGTAAAAAGATACTAGTACTAAGCTAAAGAGAGCTATTAAGAGCTCTGTATACAAGAGAACTTCTATAGAACTTCTACGTATAGAAACTCCTTCTCTTCTTTATAAATTACAAAAAATTAATAATTCTCTACTCTACTAGCAGAGCTAACAATCTCTCTACCCTGCTAGTAGAACTAACAACTCGCTGCTCTACTAGTAGCTAAATACCTCCCCTCTTCGCTTCTTTCTTAATTAAAAAGCTAAATAAATCTAAATACTATAGAAGAACTCTTGCAAAGCTAATCTAGAGGTAGAATCTTAGCTCTATAATACCTCTTTACTCTAATAGTTCTTAAATCTAGAGCAGCGAACCTACTAGTAGAATATACTAATTAATATTTCTATTATAAAAACTCTGTTTAGTAATATAACGTGATAACTAATAAGAATTAGAATAATAACTTTAACTAGAAGCTTGTAAGGCTTTACTAGAGCTTAGTAATACTAGAGCTATTATTAGTCTTAGGTTTATATATACTCTCTACCTCTACTAAAGAGCTTTAAGAGCTCTTTCTAGAAACGCTAGCTAAAATTATTAATAAAATAGTTAGCTAATTATATATATAATAGGTATATAAATAATAAATCTATATATATTACTAGATTACTACTAACGCTCTTACTAAGAGAGATAATATATACGTAAGATATTAGATATAGGCTACTACCTTAGCTAAAAAAGATACTAAAATTTAGTAACTATAAGCGCGATTAACCTGCTCTAGAGACTAGATACTATCTATTATACTAGTTTAACGCGCGACGCGTTTCTCTATAATACTAATTATACGCAATTTAAGCGCGTTACTACTAGAGAATTTAATCTTAGATTCTTACCTCTCTATATACTAGCTAGCTACACCTCTAGCGTTATAAGCGTAGAAGAGCTAACTAACGCGCTTTACTAAGTTTCTAGATCTACTCTTATTATTAGATAGTAAGAGTATTACCTTTAAGTAGTAGAGAGATAGCTTATATGATAAACTTTAAGTAAACTAGAATTAGTATACTAGAGATACGCTAGAGAATACTAAGAAAACTATTATTACCTATATCTATACGTAAACTAAAGAAGATATATACTAGACTCTATTAGTAATACTACGTACTATTAAGAATAGTAGCGTAGTAGTTTTCTATAATTATATTCTTAATTAGCTAGAGTGGAGCTATAGAGACTTATATAAGAGGCTAAACGCTTACTATAATTTCTAAAAGCTTTATTACTAAAGCGCTACTAACTTCGCCTACTTCTAGAATAATTTCTTCTATCTTGTATAGAAGTGCTAGCTTCTAGTAGATTAATAGATAGAGAAGTTTTATAAGAAGCTACTAAAGAATATACGCACGTAGTTAGAGATATACTAACGTTAATATATTAATAACTATAATTACTATATAGACCTTACTTAAGATTTTACTTAAGAGCTTACCTCTAGAGAAGCACGCGTTACTACTAGAAAGGCTAAAAAGCGTAACGTAATTACGTTAATGCTATAACGCGCGCCTCTAGCTCTTCTAGGTTTTCTAGCACCTAATAAAGCTCTAGTAATCTAGAAGCTAGTTACCTATTTTTAATACTACTAACCTAGCTATCTAAGCTATAATTACTCTAGAGCTTCTACTACGTAGAAAGCTATTAAGAACGTTAATCTAGAGAAGAAGCCTATAGAGCCTATAGAGCTATAAGTACCTAAGAATAATACGTTAGAATGTAAATCTAATAATTTAGAAAAAGCCTAGCTCTAGAAAAAGTCTTCTCTCTAGAGCTACTTACTAGAGTAATAAACCTACGCGAAAAGCTATTTAGTAGTTCTACGTTTACTCTACTCTACTAAATCTCTACAAATAGTCTTATAATTAAGCTTAGAGGCTTAATTAATATAGAAGCGGGTAGCTACGTTCTAGTACACCTAAAGCACCTTTAAACTCTTAGAAAAAACCTCTACGTTAAGCTATCGCGTATAGAACTAATTCTTCTTACTAGGTATAATAGGCAACCTAATAGCTAAGTAGATAAGTATTTTAAAGCTAATCTAGTACTAGAAAGCTACTAAATTTATACTTACTTTATATATTATAACACTAGCTGCTATAACGTAATAATTAGTTATAAGTTACTTAAAGAAGTTAACGTTTAGGTTAACTATAAGCAGCGCGTACTAATATAGCTAGATACTAATTAATTAATTAATTATAAACGCGACGCGTTTATCTCTATATAATTCTCTTAATCTAACGCTAAAGCTTAAGCAGCTTATTAAGCTAATGCTAATCGCCGCGACGCCTTAATATTAGTAGTAGAAAAGCTAAGAGTAATATAATAAGAAAAGAGAGAATTATAACACTAGAAGCTTTAAGAAAACCTACGCAAAATAGACAGGTAGCTTAAGAATCTTAACCTGCCTACTAGGTTACTCTATAAGCTAAAAAAGCTACCTATTTTGCAAGAAATATGCTTAAAGGCTAGGCTTAACGTTAATATAATTAGCGTAGCTACCTTTATAATTAACGCGCGTTAAAAAGATACTATAATTAGGTACCTTAGTGTCTATAAGGTTAATTAGCTTATTACTAATAGAAAGAAAACCTCTACTACTAATCTAGAGAAGAAACTTCGCTAATAGGTTGCTAAAAAGCTTCTATCTCTAGAATATACTAGCGTAACTATAGCCTATTTCTTAAAAAAGAATTTTAATACTCTACTACTATATAGAGAAGGCGTAGATTACAAAATTAAGCTTATAGTAGAAAATACTCTAATAAATAGTTCTCTTTATAGTATATTACTAGAGTACCTATAGTTAGTATAGAAT